GGGAGCCCTATACAGCCCATACTGGGATGCACTTGGGGTTAAGTTAGCCCTAACGCTAAGCCTATTTGAGCGCGAATCGGGGGGGTCGGAATCTGCGAATCGGGGNNNACAAAATAGCCAGATACGGATAGAAACCCTAACGCTAAGCCTAATATGGCACGAATCGCACCCCGATTCGCGCCTCATATTGGTTAGGCCTTCAGTATCCGTGTTTAGTGACTTGAACTCAAAGACATTGCCTGCCGGTAAGATCAACTTGGTCATCAAAGAGCTCGCAAGCGCAGCCATTGTTGTCTCTAGACGAGACTCGAAGCTGGAAGCCCACTGGTTGGCAGGCTTAGCGAAGCCATCCATCCCCTTGGAGGTTCCGAACTCCTTGAACATATCGTGGTTCTCGAGGTCAATGATGACACCATCGCCCTGCATACGCTTACTCAGGTCCACCATCTTCTGTACCTCCATAATATTCTCTAGGGTGGTGAAGGAGACTGGAGGATTGACCTGCCTTGGCAGCTCCTCTGCGCCGATGGGGACCGTCGTTCTACTCTTGTCCTGGTCAAGAGTGAGTGACCACGTGTCGCTGGCAGGAGACAGGTCAAAGCCTGCCTTGGTGACGATCTGGATATTAGCCCGTCGAGCAGCGCGCCATTCAGTGAAAACGTTGATGAACCACTGTCGGTTGGCTATCATGTCGGCAGCGAGTCCGACGCCACCAGTGAGTGTCCACAGTGCCACACGTTTTTCTGATCACTCGTTCAGTATGCTTGCATCCCAATTCAGCAACGCGAAAGGTAAACACTTACTGTCTTCGAACAGGCGATTTATATTGCAGATGCCAGAGGCTTCTTGCGTGATTGACAATAGTGAGCGCATATTAATATCGAAGTAGATTTTACGGTTCGTATCGGACGACTTGCCAAGATTGGGGTTCTTTTGCACATCACTGGTGTAGGTCAGAATGGCCTCTGCGATGCCTAAAACAAAGTCAGTCGGCTCATCAAACTGTTTCGAATTATATGGTATCCTACCTCGAGCTTGGCGTCGCTGGAAATACTTCAGCTCCAGACCGATTGCTTTTGAAGCCGTGAGCACTAAACTCAGGAACGCAGACAGCTCTTCCGATTGTTTCATATTGTCTGTGTCCATGTCTTGACATTTCATCGGCTGGAACTCATAATCCTGTTTTAGGCAGAGTTTGTTTACTTGTCCCTCATACCCCGCAGCGATCTGTTCGTTGTAACTTGCTGTCGGCTGCGCACTGGCAACATGATCGTCTTGAGGGACCAGGTCTTTACCCAAAGCGTTCATATCCACTTTGAAGTAGGAGAGAAAGTTCTGCGTTAGCCAGTAGTCTCTAAAGATCTCACGTGAGAAAGCCATGACTCCATCGGCTCCACTTGCTTTCCCATCTGCCCTGATGCGCTTGTAGGCTGTGTTTCCAGCGTCCCAGAAGCCGGCGCCGACATCTTTCTCGTAGTCAATTGACCTGAGGCCTTCACCACTTGCTCTATTGGGGTCGTTCATTGGTCTGTGTGTAAGAAGACAGTAGTTGATGACACCACTGGAATATTCTCCGTCTCCTGTCGTCACGGTCAGGTCGAATCGTCTGGGGATGAAGTAGGGAACGTTTTCCGCCCGGTCTTTATCTCCAGCAGGGATGTCCTCAAGCTTCTGTGTAAGACCATAGCCTAGAACAAACGGGTTGTTGGGGGTTGACGCAGCCTTTGGGGCGGCGGATAGAGCTTTGAAATAGGCTGAGATGAGATTGGCAGCCTCTGTAGCCTTCGTGGAGCCCAGCTCACTTGCACCCTGCATGTTCAAGAACTCGAAAGAGCTGACGATGCGCGTTGCTTGAAACAGGCAAAATAGAGTGGTCACCGTATAGCTGTGCTGGCTGAGAGCTTTGAACTTCTCAATGACGCCGTCGGCAACTAGCGTATGTTGTGACTTCTCCTCAGAAGCTTTTACAATGTCTTCGGAGTACTTCTTAGTAAAATTTCTCCTAAAGCCCAAGAGTCTTGATAATAAATTTACCTTCGACGAAATCTTGCACCGGTCCATGAGTCAGGTCCGCGATCCAGCTTAAGGTGCAACCGTCGAGCTTTTGCTTGACGGCTCGATTGCTGAAGTTGAAGTGCAGCTTTCCGGTCTTGAATTTCAGATTGACGCGAACGCAGCGAAAGTTGCCCTTTTCCTCGCCAAAGGTAACAAAAGGAGCTTCAATCTCCCCCTCGAGCCACTTGTCGCTGGGTAGGAAAAACTTGCCGTTTTCAGGCCGAATACTTGGGCGAATGTCCTCGAAGATCTCGTCGTCCCAGTTCTCAAGTGTTTCGGGCACAATTTTAATGTTGTGATTAATGTAGTGTTTGGCTTCCGGCAGCGCAGCAAATCCTTCGAGCTCCTCAGGATCTGGCATGAGGGCTGTCGGAATGGGTTTTTCGTAGAGAGCCTGGAACTGTTTGTTGATGGCATCCTGAGAGATGGTTATCATCATGTCATACCCTTTGAGGGTGTTGGAGTTGGTGCTGTGCAACATCTTTTCTGGTCCGCTGAGTGCACAAAGATGAGTGGCAGTATTGATATGAGGATGTGGAACGAGAAACGATGCTCGAGATGGTTGGTGCCTTCAGAGCGCTGCTGCAAACATGGAGACTACTTCACAGCTTATATGTACAAAAAGTTTGCAAAGACTGTATCGTCTTAGAGGTTCGGGTCTACAGCCAGACCGCCAGACTGATGAACAGTACCCTGATCTAGCCTGCATTTCTACATTGAGACACATATCGCTATAGACCATTTGCCGAGACAGGGATCATGCTACTAACGACGCCTGGACCAAACTTCAGCAGCACCGATGCGCAACGTGCAGTATCGCTAGCAATGTTTAGCGACGCGCTAGCAGCCCGATCAGCCCAGAAGCAGCGCAACTCGCACAAAAGCAGACATTTCTCAGCTCTTAAAACCACTTCTGGGCGCCGTGTGGCGTTACCTATTGGCACGGAGAGTCCGAGGCTGTTAAAAAATGTAGTAGCCCGATCAGCCCAGAAGCAGCGCAACTCGCACAAAAGCAGACATTTCTCAGCTCTTAAAACCGCTTCTGGGCGCCGTGTGGCGTTACCTATTGGCACGGAGAATCCGATGCTATCAAAAAAAGAGGCAACGTCGTGGTCTGGCCCGAACACTAGAGGCTGTATGATCATAGGGACGGCCCGACAAGTGAGGTCCGACCGCGTTACAGTGGAGAATTCCTACACGCGTCACTCTCTGTGTAAAGACTAGTTTCCGTCATCTTTCAGCTGAAAACCTTCTCGACTTATCGCCAAAGCAAAACTGGTTACCGTCGAGTAGACCTACAGCGTCCCGATAAAAATGAGCTAAGTTAGGTTAGGCCGAGAACGCCACGTCCATCCCGTTCGAGAGTCGGCAAGTACTATGCCCTTTACTCCCGCAATGGTAACCTAGGCACAAAAGCGCGTCTTAAAAGGTAGCTATCTCCAGAGCTCGGTGAGGTTCTGTATCTTTTTTTCCATTTGACTTGTTTCTAGCATTTTTTTGTTTTGCAACAATGGCATCCATGACGCAGTCTCAACTGGCACCATCAACGGTCGTAAAGACGAGCCTCCCATTTCCGGTTGTCGACGCGGAAGCATCAAAAATTGCCGGTAAAGCTGTGATTGTACCACATGCAACCAAGAAAGTGGTCGTCGAAACCGCCTCGGAGCTTGTTGAACGCAGCGTCCAAACGTCTCTTTTTCGCACCAAGGGCGGTGAAGATAGTCCGCTTGACATTGTGCACGATGCAAAGGGACAGCCTATGATCTTCTCTATTGGTTCAGATGGAGTCAGACAGTCTCCTCTTATCTTCATGATAGCCTGTACTGACATATTCCATAGCACTTGTACTGTGTCCTTCATGCAGATAAGGCATCGCATCCCTGGCAACTACTTGATATCACTCCACCGATGGCTCAAGCATGTTCCTCAGTAGTGAGCAGCTTTGACGTCCTTGAAATCAAGCAAGACCTCCATATTGCTGTTTCTTTGAAACACAAGGCGGAGGATGGCAATGATGAAACTCACGAAGTGTATTGGGCTACCCTGAAGTTGCCAACCGTCGAGATCGACGAGGAGGGCAGCCTGAGAGGACTTTTGGCTTCTGGTAAGATATTTGACTCTGCACCACGACGGGTAGCTAACAAAGCCTCGAGATCTAAATTGGACACCTGTGAAGAACAACCTTGGCTCTCGTGTCATCGCGAAGCTCATGTGCAGCCCCAACCCGGATGCCCCTGAGCCCGGCTTCACCATCTTTGCTGCCACACAGACTACGGCCACGTATCTTGCATCCACGTACGCCATTAATCCGAGCACTTCAGCGGAGGCGCCATGGACTGTTATCAACTTCGGTGCTCAGTCAAACAAGATTGTTGATATACAGCCCCTAGTGCTCGGTGGCGCTTCGGGCCAAAGCAAGAGGCGTCCCGGTTTGGCTTTGCTACACAACGCGCCTGCGCCAGGACAGGAGGCTGGCTCGATCCTCCGATGCAATGCTGTGACACTCAACGATGCCAGGGATGAGGCTTTCTCTCAGTACTCACTTAACACTAGCAAGGTTGGTAGGCCTTCAGGCATGTACACCTCGCTAAACTCCTGGGGGTAAGAAGATCTCGCTGATTGTGTGCCGGTCATCTACTAACAACTTAGCACACATGATGTGCTCATAGCTGGGAAGGGAGTTGCGTTCCATCAATTCCAGAATCTGAATGATCCGTGCCTCGACAAGGATGGACAGATTATCTTGCCCGACATTGCCTTTCGCCAGGTCTTATGTAAAGAGACCATGCTTTCGAGTCCGCGACGGTATTTGCTCTCAATTCTAGCTGTTTCCGAAGACAACGAGCTCTATGTCATTGATGGCGAACGTGATCCCAAGAATTTTGGCCTTCCGACCTTCAAGTACTCTGGCCTGCCAATTCGTGGAGACGTTTCCCAAATTGCCTGTCACTTCAACAAACAACTTTCATCCATGGAATTTATCTACACTACTCAACGAGATAATGAGATGTGCCATCTTGCTCGCGATCCAACGACTTCTGTGTGGACCTCCACAGACTTACAAATAAAAGGCCCGACTACCATCACTAAAGAGAGACAGTACCTGACGACAATCACGATGTCTGATTCAGAGGGTAATCCTGTTCCCGAAGGTTACACTGTGGCGTTGACATCTGAACCTATTTTTGTAACGGTCAACGACCTCTCGTACAGGCTTAACAGATCCCGACCAACGATCGTCACCACAGACAGCATGGGACAGATAGAGATTATCACAGTCGCGCCTCATCACTTTGGTGTTTCTGACATCGAAGTGAGTATGAGCGAATTCTCTGAGAAGCCCTTCACATTTGCGATCAACATGGCTTCGCGCGTGATGAGTGTGATGGCATCCATAAAGTCCAAAGATGACCTGAAGAGCTTGAAGACGGAGTCCGGGAAGCCAATGTTTGATCACATCGCTGACGACAAGCTTGAAGCATCGGCAGCGTTGCTTTCGAAGTTCGACGAGCTCAAGAAGGTCACAAAGGATGAATCGGCCGACAAGCATATGGCAGGCACATCTTCGGCCAATTCCAGCGTCACGCTAGCAGATTGGACTGGAGACCAATCCAAAGGTGGCGAAACTCGCACGTCGGAAGAGAAATCCTGGTTTGGCAAAGCGCTCGACGTTACAGTGGAATACGTCGGAGACGCCATCGAGTTCCTAAGGAAAGCCGTCAAATTCGTGGTCAAGTGGGCTGTCAAGATTGTCGGGCCCATAGTCAAGTTCATCATCAGGATTGGGTCTAAGGTTCTCAGCATCGTCGTCAGTACTGCAGTCGCTTTAGTGCGAGCTGTGGTAGGTGTTCTTGATAATTTACTAGGAACTGATATGATGGGATGGCTTGGTCTTCATTTCGGCAAGCACATCCCCAACATTCAAAATGTCAGTATCACACGCGCCCATCACTTTACTGTGCTAACAATTCCACCAGCGACTCAAAGAAGTCACGTTGGGATCTCTCAACGTACTGAATCGCTTCCTTATAACTAATCGGGAAAGCCTGCTTCAATTCTTTGAAGACGCTGAAGACGTTCTCTTTAGTGATCTGCAAAATGCTGAAGAGAATAAGGTACCGCAAAAGGAATCGTCCATTATGCGCTTCGTACGATCTGTGCTGAACTCCCCTATCATAAAACTTATTTTCAAGTTCAATCCTATTTCATGGATCATGGAAGGCATTTCAGAAGGCATGGACGAGACCTTTTCAGATTGGAAGCTGCCCAACTTTAGGCCTCTGGTAGATGCTATCGGACTATCAGCCAAAGGCATTCTGGAGATTGGCCTTGGAGCCTTCATGGAACTATTCAACGTCATATCCATGTCGGCGACTGACGCGTTGACGAATCCAAGGGAACTGATGCCTATACTGATCAGGGCGGTCAAGAAGATGTTCAAGGGAGCCTTCGATGCGACTCGCGACCTAGCACTCCTTGCTTTTGACACTCTCATTCGAGTTGTGATGACTATTCCAGCAATTCTGACGCAGGCATGGAAGATTCCTGGACTTACGGACCTATGGGAGGACTGGATTGGCCAGGAGTTCTCTCTCATCAATTTTGCTACCTATGGAATCGCCGTCTTTGTAGATCTGGTGACAATCGGATTCACAGAAGCAAAGAAGGACAAGGTGTTTGGAAAGCCATTCGGCGAGGAGTGGACACAGTTCGATATTGAGCCAATGTATCGCAGTGCGCGACGCGCGGCCGATCAAGCAGCTCTAGCAGCAAAGTACCCTGGTCCGTCGCTGCCTGAGCATACCAATCCTCTGATTATGATGACGACAATTAGCGACGCTAGCAAAGGAGGCGATAATGCGAGTCAGAAGGAGAAAGATAAACAAAACCTAGAGGTAAGGTCTAGAGCCCCATTGGCAGTACTGTGCTAATACAGAAAAGACTGGGCAAATTATCGAAGAGGTTCTGAGCATCCTTACGGCGTCGTTCAAGATATTAATGCTCTTCATCGAGGTAAAGGAAGGCTATCTTATTCACAACGCGAACAGAGAGACTCAGGCGGACATGCAAGCCAATGTTCCATTACTTGCAGCCAACGAAAACCCAGCTCATGTAGAGGGATTTGGCTCGAAAGCATGGGGATGCTGCAAGCTTATTTTCGGCGCACTCTCTCTGGGCCTCGCTTTCTATCAGAATGAACAAGCTTTCAAGAATGTTATCCTAGAGGCTAGACTACGAAGTCCCAATGCTTCGCAGACATCGCCTGACGTCAGTACTCCTTCATCATTTGTTAAATGCTGTGAGCTCTGCTGACCTACTTAGAATACACTTGGCACAAGCTTCGCTTTTGTGGGGTGCGTTCTCGGAGGAATGATAGATGTCCTTGGGAGTGTAATTCCGGCCAGCGGCTCGACTGCAGAGGAGTTCCAGAGGACTGCAGTCCAACAGAAATACTTCCTCGCCATTGGTGGAACGATGTTCAATACTTCATGCGCAGTTATATCCTGGCAAGTGGGAGAGACCTGGCAGACAATTGGCAACCTCGCTGGTGCAGGCGCAGTTCTGTCTACACATATTCTTTCAAGAAACCCTGCTGGAATGAAGATCACACTGGCATGTCTGGTGGCCGATGGAGGCCTCACTGCATACAGCATCTACTCTTGTAAGTCCCAGTCCCTTCCCACCTCAGCACAATCATACAGAAGAAGCATGCTAACTGCATCGAAGCGGTCCGCAAGCTTGATAAAATAGGTAGCTGAAAGGAATTCTATACTTCAGGCTCTTTCATAAGGATGTCAATGTCTGCTCTTCGTATAAGAGTCCAGATTTCTTCTTACACTTGTGATATAGCAGATTACTCCTAGGCTAGCCTAGTCCCCCTATCTAAAGGAAGCGCCTAATTATGTTATTGTTCACATACTACAAGTTCCTTAAGGCTACGTGCCAAAGGTTACTATGATGGAGGAAGCGAAATAGATTGTTGTACAACTTATATTTGCTTGATGCTAAGATTCTTAAAAATAGTATGATAGTAGCTTCAACTTTATAATAAAGACTTGTTCTATAGACAGAAGTAGACTTGCTGAGGGTTGACTAGAACTTTGGTATAGAGAAACTGTCTAGGATTGATTCTCAGATCAATGGAGGGCGTACGAAGTGCCGATCATCTTATCGTGCAGTCGCTGATTGTGCCCAGCAATGGCGGCAGCGACTTCGCATTTCACCTGTGGTGCTTTCTTGAGTCTGAACTCAACTTCAGCGCCGTGTCGTGGCCTCGTGGCTGCTATTGTTGTGCGTTCGTGCATTCTAACCTTTAGACTCGATTGTCGCAACTTGAACGATAGACGGCAGAGATGGCGTGAGCTAGCACGAGACACAACGTCCATAATCGTCGCTTAAGCTGTAACGCAAGCTTGACAACTCAGCTGAGGCCGTATTGAGTACTTGACAAGGTGCATAAGTGGTAGCCCTACGTGGCCACCCAAACTTTATTGTGCTGGGGTCGGCTCGAGCCGGGCTGAAGCTTCTTAACCTTATTTGAGTCCGGAGCTTGTCGGAGCTTGTCATTGTCAAGCCACATTGCTTCCGCAAGCGACAATGCGACTTGCTTTATTCCTATCTTGGGTGAGCTCGTGCCATGTTGGTACATATACATGATCGTCACATGCAGAGATCGATCTGGACAATTGTGATCTAACCCCGCAGACTAACCCGGATTGATGAAAGCGGGTTGCGTGTCAGCAAGTGCATTCATGGTTTTCGTGTGGCTGGCTTACGCTTCCTCATGATCAATAATGTAAGATTTTGCTCGCTAATTCAGCTGGCTATGTGAATGGAGAGGCTTCCAATTCTTGTTATGCGGTCGCAATGTAACGATTCAACTCTCTACAGCTTTGATTGTGCTGTGTGGCACTTGAAACACATATAACCTTAGATACCTGCTTCCATAGTCTTGCTCTCTATTTTCTACTTTCACTGGAGTTAAAATTGTTATGCGCCGTGATTTCCATTGCATCTTGTACCATGGCTCCAAAAGTGAAAGAGTTCAGTCGACAGAAAGGATTAGGCTAAGCTTAAGCAGATAATCTACCTATCCGCCATGGCGAGAAGCCCGAAGACGATGCGGAAGTTCACTGCACTGAGCTGCCTTAGCGGCTCTACATGGGGTGTAAGTTTGCTAGACATGCGCAGAATATATGAAGGAACAGCACTCCCTCAAATAATATACGCTTGCTTCATCTAGTATAACGCCAACACGAGAGGTGGAACATATACACAAAGGACGCTAGACATCATGCAGGGCATACAAGCCATAGCAGCAAGGGTAATCTGCGGCGCATACAGAGCTACATCACGTGCTGCGTTAGAAATCGAGGCACACCTACTACCCATCGAGCAGCAGATATGGAAACACAATGTTGATGCGATCATCCAGCTCCTTTCGAGCAGGGCAATGGCTAACATAGCTAGTATCCAGAGAAAGGGTTAGGTTTACCCTTTCTAGTTCTTCTAAACTCTTTTTATCATGTATATATTCTATCTACTCTTCTACTCTCTTCTTTACTTCCTGGTTTTATTTCCTTATTTATCTTTTCTAATTTAGACTCTTTGCGGGGCACCTCTTCTCTTTTTCTCCCTTTTTTATCTATCCCTTCTGTGGGTCTCCTCCCCTTTTGTAGGTATCAAGGCTGTGCATGGTTTATCATCTTGTTCTTAACCCTTTCTATTTTCCTATACTATATTCCATACCTACCTTTTACCCCCTTATTTAATAATCTCATCTTCCTAATCCTATCCTTAATCCCCAACGGAACTAAGGTCAAAATCAACCTTAGTTTCTAATTTCTTAGCGAGTTTGCGGACCTTAGTTCTATAGAATCTAGAAAAGTATAGAACTAAGATTAGAATAGCGCTTAAAATAGATATAACTTTTACTATAGATATAGAAAACTTATAAAAGCTTAACGTACTACCTTTTATAATCATATAATAACTGTAGCGCGAGATATTTAATAGAATATAATAAAAAGTTAGTATTCGCTAATATAGCTTATATACTTCAATATTAGTATTTCTAGTCTCTTAGGGTTATAGTAGTGGCTAATTCTACTCTAACCCTACTTTAACTCTAAGCAGCTTAACTCTAAGTATAGCCTACTCTAAGTAATCCTAAGTATAATTAACTTAGAAATTTACTACTATTTACTCTATAACTATATACTTAACTGTCGCAGTATCAATGGATGGATCGATCAGTGATCGATCCATCCTGAGTCACATGATCCATCCGATCAGTGATCAATCCATTCCGGGTCACATGACCCGTCCGATCTTTTAACCATCTGATCTTTATCAGATAAGTATAAATAATGGATTAGGTGATTAAGACGATAGATTACTAGAAGTAGTTAGACATAGATTAGTAGTATATAGTCTTACTAATCTACTAATCTAGATTAGCAGATTGATCGGTCCATTATCTTAATACATTCTATTTATTCAGAGTTTTTAGCTTCTATAGTTATGAGCCTAGCGCTATAAGATTATAGATTGATTCTCCCTGCGTAATTTTATACTACTAAATCTTTAAATAACGAATTGATTATTCCTATATTAATTAAACCCTCTCTAACTTAATAATCTATCGCTATAGATTATGACGATTGTATTGTTGTAATAATAATCCTCTTATAAAATTAAAATAACTAGCTAATATAGTTTACTTAGCTTCGTTCTTATGCCTAGGATAAAGAAATCTAGTACCTGATCGACCTAGATCTCTTAACTATCCCTCTAATCTAGGACCTCGAGCTAGTGTATCTAGAACTCCTAACTACGCTAACGCCCGTATAACTATTACGTACTAATCTAACTAAAGAAGATAAAAAAGAATATTAGTAAGCTATACTTTAATACGAAGCAAAGCTAAGAGTCTAAGAGCTTACTATAACTACTTATCTAGAAGATATTAATTAGTATAAGGTATAATCTATAAAATAGAATNNNNATATTACTNNTCTTAGTAATATACGAGAATAGATTACTAAAACTATATTATAAGATTATATCTCTATAGTTATACTTAAGCT